TAGCGAATCGCGAAACGAGTGTGTTTTCTTTGAGAAATTCGTGAGAATCTCCTCCGGTCGGTGTTGCCACATGAACTCAACTGAAAGTCAGGCGGTTGCATGAAGTACATCGTTAAAATTCGTCTATTATGATAGGTGATATTCAATTGGTAGGTATAGCACGTAGTTATAATACATAATAGTTGATGAGATATACGATAACGTTTTTCTATACACATTTTTAAGTCTGTTTTTGTTTATTGTATTGTCGTATCCATTGCTATTTTTATTTTATTATCATGCCATTTATTTTTAGAGAATGAAATATAATCTAATGATTCTGCATATATCTATTAAACCAATTTAATGGAGGCCCTCATTGCAAAGCTTGAACCTAAAGACACTGGTACAGTTTCCATGGCTCAAACTTTGATCACTTAACAGACTCTCGGAGTTTTTCCTGCTCATCCGGCTCATCCTGCCTTGCCCTGACGGGGTAGCTACCAGAATTTTTTAAAAATAAACCTAGTTTGTGTGGCACATTGTTGAAAAGCTAACTGTCTTCTTCTCGCAGCCTTACACTAAAATCTTATATCTTACGATATGCGATTAGTTTATGAGATGTCGATGTTGAAAAGTAACATTTTTGAAAACTAGTCATTTTTTACTTTTCGACAAAAATATTTTATCATATATTTTTTTTATATTTTCCAAGGCTCCTTGATAGTTAGTGTTTTAAACACAGCCATGGCACTCTAGATTAAAATTTAAAATACAATTTGTTTTTAAGCGAATATGTCAAAAGTTGACATATGAAATGTCATTCGATTCAGAGTGTCATTTTCTATCAAATAAATTAAAAAAATACCGAGGGTGCCATTTAAAAATCAAAAGTTTTAGTCATTTTCGGTGAAACAAGAAATGACCGAAAACAACTGAATAAGCCAATCAATTGTTTTCGGCAAATCTTTATTTATCTGAAAAAATTAAAATATATATATAGGGGCGAGTCACTTTTGGGAAATACCCCATATACAGGGTGTTTCAAAACAAATGCGAAAAACTTCAGGGGGTGATTCCTTGTTCAAAATAAAGGGTTGTTTGCTTTATAAACGTTGGGTCAAAAGTCAACCATTAGAGAGATATCGCGGAACAAAGATGGCGGAAAAATTATGTTTTTTATTTTTTATCTTGAAAACGAAAAGCGATAGACTAATGAAATTTTATGGAAGCATTGCTGTTATGAAAACACACTTTCTGGTAATTTTCTCACTTTTTTAAAATGAGTGGTGGGGTTAAAATAAACTACCCCTATCATTCTTGTTAACGAAATTTAAAGAAAAATCTTATGAAATACATGCAACAAAATTAATTTGGATATTAGTTTGTTTAGAAACTTTTTTATCTCTTGTATTTTTTGATAAAACTCACCGATTTGAAATTAAAAAATAAAATGTAAAGCATTACATGCCAACTCCTTTTTTGACGCAATTAAATACATCATAAAAAGGCTTCGAAATAATTAATTGATCGTAAGATAACGTATTACAGTAGAGTAATGTCAAATAAAATAATATTAGAAACATCCTAAAAAAAGACAGCGGCCGACTAGATTTTTTCCTAAAAAAATTACAGCAGCACACTAGATTCTTCATCTAAAAATGTTTTTTATCCTGACATGTAATGCTTTACATTTTATTTTTAATTTCAAATCGGTGAGTTTTATCAAAAAAACACAAGAGATAAGAGTTTCTAAACAAACTAAACTATCCAAATTTTTTTTTTGCATGTTTGATAAGATTTTTCTTTAAATTTCGTTAACAAGAATGATAGGGGTAGTTTATTTCAACTCCTTCTACTCATTTTAAAAAAGTGAAAAATTACCAGAAAGTGTGTTTTCATAACCGTAATGCTTCCATAAAATTTCATTAATCTATCTCTTTTCATTTTCAAGATATAAAATAAAAACATTATTTTTCCGCCATACTACCATCCCTGAAGTTTTTCGCATTTGTTTTGAAACACCCTGTATATCGGAGAAACTAATGTTCCTTCTTGCTAGTTTTGGCTAAGAGATATTTGCGACTGCTACACTTAAAATTGCCAATATAGTCTGACGGCTAGCCTACATATGACTGAAATTATTGAAAAAGTATTTCAATCACTGTTTCTGTGATGTTGAATTATGAATTGACAAATCTGTCAATTATTTCCTCTGCGAAAATGTTCTAAAATGATTTGATCTCTTTTTTCTGTAGTCTTGAAATTGACGACTTTGACTGGGAAATTTAAAAATTTAGTTTGTTGGACAAAGTTAGTTGGTTAAAGTAGTGAATGCGACCCCTTCTCGAACCCCGATAAGCAAAATTGCCGTTTTGATACCAATCACTCTTAGACCATATCCCTAGAAATGTTACAATTGTTTTGTTAAGTGTAGTTTAAAACCATTCGGTAGAGCTGAAGAAACGGACGACTTCCGTTATGCTCTTCTGGGTGATATCTTCAAGAGCTACGAAGCTGTAGTCTCCAAGTAAACGATTCCGTGTCCCATTGAACTAAGTTGGGTACCATGATTTTTTAAACACTTTAATCAACAAATCCTGAAGGAATCAGTTCATCGACAATAAATCTTTAGTTAGTTCCTGCGAGTTAACAAGAGTCTTAAGTGGTAACTTTTTAAGGTTTAATGATATTGATCTGATTTTTTTAATTTGTTTAACGAAGTATTTGAACTCCGAACAATTCGAAAAACATGATAACTTTGTCGAAAGACGAAATAAATTTTAATACTCTTTAGCTGGGCGAATCAAATACGTCGATTTCATGACTACAGATATTGAAATATTTTCAAAATTTGAAAATTAGAAGAAATTTGAATTTAGAAGAAATTAGTAAAATTTAAACAAATCATAGAATAATAGATAAAGATTACTGAAAGCACACCATAGCTGGAAGTAATGATGCTTGATGGCAGTTCCCAGTCAGTTTTGATAGAGATAAAAAAAAACTTTAACTGTGCTGATTAATTGGTAAATCTGACAACACTGTTCCAGCATCTTACGCGGCCTTCTTTCTCTCTCAGATTTATCTCTCCGTCGCCCGGTAAACTTATTAGCGAATAAATATTTATAAAACTGGTAGTAAAAATTAGCCGGTGATTCATATGTATACGCGGGAGACTCGTGAACTGACCGAAGGCCTACGTCCATTCTGTTCGCCACTGATCAAGGTTGTGGCTATCGGCCGAAGTTTAGACTGGTCCTCGCGCTCGAGGATGATATGAAAATAAAAATAAAAGATTGTGAGGCGGGGATGGCGTACGAAGCGTGCCGTTCCGTATACTCGGTCGATCTCCGTGGTCGATTTGGTAATTAGGACAGTATTATGTCATCGGCGGACTGTTAAACATACAGTGCACAGTGCACACAATTCATAGAGACCTGAATCGGGAACTTGTGACGTCGCATGCGTAGGTCTACTTATTGATCGTTCGTATGATCTCGTATTTTTGGAGTTTATTTATTTGAATCATCATCATCATCAACCAGCCACTGAAGTCCACTGCTGGACGTAGACTTCCCTCGTTTGCTTCCATAACTCCCTTTCTCTATGACCTATTTGCATCCAGTTACTGTTGATACGCCTTAAGTTGTCAAGCCATCTGGTTGTAGGACGGCTTCTGCTCCTGTATGCATCATATCCATTCTAATATTTTCTCCGTCTATCGGTCATCGTTTATCCTTGCAATGTGCTCTGCCGAATTCCATTTTAAAGTATTTATTTTCTCTATGGCATCCATGACTTTTGTTCTGTCTCGTACTTCGATATTCTGTACTTGTCTCTCAGAGATAGCCGCAACATTGATCTTTGTGATATTCTGATTTTGCTTACTGTTTTGGTTAATGTTAGGGTCTCAGCACCATACGTTTATTTTATTCATACATTTATTTGAATAGTAATGTTTATTTACAGTTTTTGGTGACAATGGGATGAAAGAATTTCGACGTGATGATCAGCAGCGTCAGGCTAGAATTCAGGACATCACATATTGTCATGTATAGTACATCCATTAACAGAATAATGAAAGTTGTGTATAATGAGTTATTATCTTTTTTGAATTCAAAACGAAAATTATGTTTTTTAAAAGATTTTCAATGTTATTTGCCACAATCTTCCGTTCTCCTTGGGATAGACTTAAGACCTACTTAAAACTATACTTATTACGTACTGGTATATGGAAAATATGGAAATTATAACATAACTGAATATTATTTAATAACTTAATATTTACTATTATTATTTATTGACTATTTTCAGTATCGCGGGGATGAAACGACATACAATAATACTATTCAAAACTAACTCTTCGAATATCGTTAAAATAGGTGTATGCGTTTAAATAATTAAAAAAAAATCAAAAAATTATGATGAAAGATGACATAGAAACCTGCTTGTTATTTGTTATTAAAAATATCCAAATGAAATTTTATGAGTAGAATAATGTACCTATGACTGATTGAGCTTAAAAATATTATTATTTTATTTCTACATGACAGAAAATGTTTTAGGGTATTAAAAATGCACTTAATTATTAAACTTTTCAATTTCAAAATTCTCATATGAAACCGCCATTTCAAATTCTTGGAATGATAAGAATAATATTGTGAATAAGATAATAAAGCTGTATGTATGCAGTCATTACAATAATATGCCTTCCATAATCTTTGAACAAACTTTATAGTTATTTGCTTCAAAGAAATAAATATATGACTAAGCGAACAACTACTAAATAATAATTATTTATAAATACACATATTGTTTACAATATTAAGTTAAAATTAATTTTTGAAATTATACTTAGATATTGTGCTTGATATAGGAACAATAAAATATCTATTTTGTTTTATGATGACCGTGCTTAAAAAAATATTGTTTTATTTCAAATGAAGTTAATATTTTTAGAATTTTGTTTCTAATATAAAACTGTACCATTAAAAAATCAACCCTTATTAAAAAGTACTTCACATAAAGTCATGCAGCACCACAAACACATAATTTAGTAAAAACTCACCACCTTCTTCTTCTGAATCCGAAATAAAGGTCTCCTGCATTGCTTCTGGTGCCTGAACTTTGTATTTTTCCTCTACCGTGGTGGTGGTGGTTGTCGTGATATTTGTTACGGTAGTAACTACTTTCAGAGTTTCAATTACAGTAATGTAACCCAATTTCTGAGCGATATTCAAAGGAGTTTGTCCATTCTGAAAGAAAATTTTAAGTTTGAATTATAGCGAAGAATATATATGACATTATATATATTAAACGAAGTTAGTTTAGATGAATCTTTAAATTTCTGCCCCAAACAATAAATTTTGGTTCTTAGACAACTTGGTTACAAGACCGTTATTGGCATTTCTATTAAAAACTGGATTTTCTACATAACAAAAATATTATAGACTTACCGTTGTTACTGCATTAGGATCAGCTTTGTTCTCCAACAGGATATTTACGATATTCGCATGACCTTGTTGGGCAGCCTGGTGAAGAGGAGTATATCCAAGAGATGTAGGACTTTGAACACTGGCTCCATTCTTTAATAGGAACCGCACCATATTGGTTTGTCCATAATGGCAAGCAATATGGAGCGGTGTATATCCAGCTTTAGTAGCAGAATCGACGTGAGCACCACTTTTCACCAATATTTCTGCTACGGGGACTCGATCTTCTTGAGCACATAAATGTAGAGGTGCCAGTCCATTCTAAAATTAAAATAGGATATCATCATTAATAATATTATAAATAATTAGTAGTTTATTTTTTACTTTAGCTTCATGGTTAGGGTCAGCTTTATGCTCCAACAGTAATGATGACATATCGGTGTAACCTTCTTGGGAGCTGAGATGCAATGGTGTGAATCCAGCTTTCGATTCTGCATTAGGTTGTGCTCCGTACTCCAAGAGGGTGTTTGCTATATCCATTTGATTTTTTCTCGCAGCAATATGAAGTGGCGTGTGTCCATTTTTAGCTACAAAAATTATTCAGTAAAATATAAAGATGTTCTCTTTCAGATTTTCATTCCAAACTTTTCCTCAAAATATGCAGGTACGGGTAGCGGTCATTTAAAAGTATTTTATATTTATACAGCAAGATGCAAATAGATATTTACATTCATTTTATTTATGTTTTCAAATATAATTCTCTATATTGGGTTTTTTTCTGCACACTTGGAAGTTTTCTGCACATCAAAAACACTTACTCTCTTATGAAATAATAATTTCCTTTTATGTTTTTTTTTGATAGTTGAAAATGTTTAACAGTTTTTTTTAGATTTTTATTTCTAGATTAACATAATAATAAGCAATATTACATAGGGGTTATTCACACCATTAGTGTAGTACACTTCTTCGATGTTTCATATGGATTACCCTCTATAGTCTGTCCAATGAAAGAATACCTGACAGTTACAGTTGTTATTTGTCATTTTAGTTCACAGATAAATTAAATTTTCTGTAATTTTTTAAATGTACTCTAGAAATCTTCTCTGACTCATTGGATAGAATGTACCTATAATTTTTATAATTAAAATCGATTTTCATACTATTTGGATTGTCTTTACAAGAGGAAAATCTTCTTTATTATTGACATTTTGAGAAAAATGCATTCTTCATAAAAGAATTTGCTTGTTCTAAAATAGTGAACCCCGTTTATATTTTTCTAAATATCTTTACCGTTTTAGAGAAAATTATGAAAATTTAGTTGAATTTTATCAGTCTTATGCCCACTTGCACCGTTTGTTTAAACTTTGTTTAAAGGCTAAACAGTGATTAACTATACATATTTTATTATAGTTAATCACTGTTTAGCCTTTAAACAAAGTTTATACAAACGGTGCAAAAAACAAAAAATTATATATGATTCATCCTGTATATCCTGTATATATCCTGTATATAGATTGGACTGAAAATCTCAAATATAAAGTCCTCATATAAAGCTTCTTTGGAAAACTGGGTCACCATGTAAACAGAAAATGAAATACCTGTAGCGTGAGGAGATGCTCCTTTGTCCAACAACAAAAGTGCCACATTTTGGTGATCGTAATGTGAAGCGACGTGTAAAGGAGTGACCCCATTTTTACCCTGGGCATCAACAGGAGCTTCCTTCTGCAACAATAGCTTCGCCACCTTCAAATTTCCGTATTTCGAAGCTAAATGTAGGGGAGTGAATCCTTTTTTCGTCGTACAGTTAATCGATGCTCCGTGGTCAATCAATGCACCGGCCACCTTGAAATAGAATAATTCTTAACGTATGCCAGTTAATAAAGAATCATGAGAGATTTATTAAAAAGTTTAAAGGCCAATATTTTACTCATTAATATGATAATAATCAATTTCGTTGAATTTATGTTTTAAATTAACTATCACTCACATGTTTAATTTTAGGTATAAATGAAATTCTTTGTTAGTGAGAACAATTAATGAGCTTACGTAACAACAATTTAAATGTTTATTCATTAGAGGTTACTCGATTAAAGCACTAAAAGATGACTAGACTTGTTTAATTTTTAAGTTTCCTTGACTGTTTTTTGTTAAGTGAAAGGTGCAATCAACTAGAGGTGTGAAATAAAAGAGTGCAGAACTTGAAAAATAGAAAGGTTTATTTAAAAACATTGGAACGTTAACAATATATCATTAGGTATATATAAACAACAAACGAATCACAACCATTTATGTAACGGTATCACTTAATAAAGTAGGAATGCTTAAATACCCTTAAATTGATGATATCTTAACAAATCTATATTAACTACCCAAAATTTATATTAAATATTCCTGTTGCTTTAAGCATAAAATTTCAACAATGCCAATGAAGCTTGTAAAGTTTTTAATCAAAAAGTGTTTTACCTCGTCTTGACCTTCCTTGGCCGCAATATGTAGAGCCGTGTACATGTCTTTAGTGGTGTTGTCCACTTTGGCACCATGCTGTAGCAGAAGCATTACGATATCGACGTTGCCAAGTCTAGATGCAATGTGTAGAGGGGTTTGTTGTTCTCTGGCCCTTGCGTCCACTTGGGCACCGTTCCGAAGAAGAATCCGAATTATATCGGTCTGAAAATATTTTTTAAATAAATAAAAGTATTGTTTAGTGTATATGTTGCAGTAAAATGCAGAAATAAGTGAATGCTAACTAATACTAGTCAAAGCTCACATTCGCTGAGAGAAGGTAACAGTTCAACAACTTAATTTGAAATAATTACTAGTGAATGCTAGAAACAATAAAATCCATATTAAAATTTAAAAAAAAATCAAGCAATAAAAATTCTCATTTGTGCAATTTGTGCAACTTCGTCTTGATTAATATTTAGTTACCCGGTAGCGGCTAGACGCTTAATGCTTTTTGGGGTTAAATATAAAGACAAATATTTTAGTTTTTGTATTTCTGTTTTGTTGTCTTGTAATTTTAAGATGAGCGTATCAGCTTGAATGTGAAGATGATCCAACGCTCTTATTTTTTTGTTCCAACCACCCTATTGCATAAGAATGACTTTTACCGACAACCTTTAGTAAATGTTACTCTAACTGGCAACAGTGGTTGCGAGTAATAGTCGACAAGTTTCTTTAAAATTCGACATTCACTGGTCCAATGCGGTCCTATTTTTAGCATTTCCTAGAGATGATCTCAATAACGTATCATACAATTTGCAATCGACTTAAATTTGTGTAAAAAATAGTGTATATGATGAAGATGAATGAAGTAAAGACGTCAATGCACTCAATTAATAGTAATTTGATTGACAATTATTTTTCGTCAACCTTAATAAATATAAAAAACCATAGAAAGTATTTTTTTTTCATTATAAATTTGTTAAAAACGTTGGCATTAAATTCAGGAATCCTCTAGTATAATTCACATCAGATCGATCCTGTATCTTCCGTTTTCATTTTAGTAAAATTTTATAAATACAAAGATTATAAAAAAAGTTCAAAGTAACTTCTTAAAAAAATGTTTAAAGCCGCTAAGGTTTTGTAAAGCAAGTATAATATTTGAATTTGCGATGAATTTTATGTTTCTTGCTTTCATATTTTTGAAAAAAGTGGCTTTCAATGTTTCAGTAAAAAAAATAGAAAATGATCTAAATAATTAATATTTGAAATTTAGTGTCATAGTGTAATTAGTTTAAAAAATCTGTATCGTATACTGACAAAAAATAAATAAATTTGTTTTGTACTTATAATCTTCTGCATTCATTTTTTATGTTATTGAACTGAGGCGTCAAGTTACAAAACGTTGTTTCAAAATAATATGCAAAAACTGTTTTAGCAAACGTTTGAAGCGTTATTTTACAAAGAAAATGGGTCCATTGAGTGGAATAATTGTTTTGTGTCTCATTTTTCTAGAAATAAAAATTAATATTTAATTTTTAAAGAGAAAAAACATAAAAATAATTCGGATAAGGCGGGTTTTCTTGCAGTATGATGCATTTTGGGAGTTTGATTCGTATGATGCATACAGGAATATATTTGCATCCTAACTTTATTTATTAGGTATGGATAAGATGTCAGTAATATTACACTTGTCAAAAAATCCTATATAGGTATTTCGCCACTGCAAGAAAATCTACAAAATATAATAATAATAGCTCCCGTATATAGCGTTTAACGCCTTGGGAGTAGCATGGTACAGCTTGCTATACTAGAGCCGTTCGGTATACAAGGAAGGTAATGTGGCTAGCACTACGCTTCAACCGCCTATTATTACCTCAGGATTGTGAATCCCAAGTACTCATTTAAGGCTGAGTCAACCTAGGTACCCAAACTATTTTTATTAAAATAATAATTTTTAATAAAAATAGTCGGCTGATGAAATGCCGGGTGTGGGAATCGAACCCACACCTTGAGATTGGTAGACGAGAGCCTGTACCTCTACGCCACCGGGGACCTTATCTACAAAATAAAATAGTTATTTTTTGTAAACACTTCTGCGTTAAATCCAAACGGAAACTACTTGTCAGAAGTTAGGTTTAGTTATACAAATTTGCCTAACAAACAAAAAAATGCTTAACGTTTCGGAAAGTTTACTCTTTCCGTCGTCGGAAGCAAAAAAAAATACAAAGAATAAAGAAAAAACTATTTAAAATATTATTTAAATTCAACTATTCGAGAACACTTTAGTTTTTTAAAACAGATAAGTTAAGCATTTTTTTTTGTTAGTCAAATTTGTATAACTGTAAACCTAACTTCTGACAAGTAGTTTCCGTTTGGGTTTAACACTGAAGTGTTTACAAAAAATAACTATTTTATTTTGTAGATTTTCTTGCAGTGGCGAAATACCCATATAGGATTTTTTGGAGAGATGAATCCGCCATATAGGTATAGACATTTTTTAATGTTATACTTGTGTAAGAAGCCCTATGAAAAATATGCGGGATTTGCAACAATAATCACAATAAACAGCAGATGTAAGTGGATAAAACGGATTTTGCTGCAGTAACGTAATTTATAGAGAATTTTATATAAAAATAGGCAACTAGCGCTGCAATTTGGGACAATGTTTATGTAGATTTCAGGGTCCATTATTAATATATGTCATTAGACAATTTTTTTATAAAATTGACAAGGCGGGTTTTCCAACTTGACGCCTCAATTGTAATGCTATAATCTGGGGTAATTTTACTAGTATATTTGTGTTTCTTGTATAAGGTAATTACTTGATTTGCTCTTGCTGCAAGGTGGAGTGGTGTTTCTCCCCTAATCGTTGGTGCGTCAGGATTAGCGTCGTGTTGTAGAAGATAAATAACGATATTCATACAACCCATAAAGCTGGCAACATGAAGTGGAGTAAGGCCAGACTCCGTTGTAGCACCAATACCTACAGAAATTATGACATATTAACAAAAGAAAAATTAATAATCTATTATTTTTTCAACTAAAGCTTCTCTCCTCTCTTTAGAATCTACTATATGTTAGAATTTAAGTTAAAATATTAATTAATAATTTACTAACAGCATATTTGAAATAAAAGATACACAGTAGGTACTATTAAACTTACTTGCGCCATGTTTTAGTAGTAACTCAACCACTTTTATTCGATTTTTCTTACAGGCTATGTGAAGTGGGGTGAACCCATTTAATGCTCTTGCATTAGCATCTGCTTGTCTAAAATATAAAAGAGATTTAAAATATATTTCAGTACAAATCACGAAACTGAAATAAAAATATTATTTGTGTTACTGATTTCAATTGTCCATATCTATTAAAACTATATAGGGAGAGCCAATTTTAATAAAATTTGAGAATTTACATATTTTATAAATAGAATCATACGTTACCTATCAAGAAGCAGTTTAGCAACTCTGACATGACCGCAATGAGCTGCAACATGAAGGGCTGTTAAATAATCTACAGTAACTTCATCAACGGGTGCCCGATGGTATAATAGTATTCTTGCAGCATCAACGTGGTCTCCTTGAGCTGCCATGTGAAGCGGTGCTAGACCATTCTTAAGAAAAATTGCAAATTATTATAATAAAAACTCGTTAATTGTTTACTTACTTTCGTTTTAGAACTAATAGGAGCTCCTTTTTCTAATACCATATCGACCACTTGCTCGTGCCCGCTCCTAGCTGCACAATGCAAGGGTGTTAAACCATCCCTCGTTTTTGCTTCTATAGAGGCACCGTTTTCCAAAAGCAAAGCGACCATATTCGTTTTACCTAGTCAAAAAATATGTATGTGTATGTGGTAGTCAATGAGTTTGGTAATAAAAATTAATGAATTGTGAGCTTTTGATTCATCGCTTTAGTCGAAAGAATCCAAAGAGAAAGTGTGTTTATCAGACCCCTTGTAAGTGTTGTATGTCGCATATCGGAAAGAGAACACATCTACATTGTACATCTTAAGGAACATAAAAACATTCATAAAAGTAATATAATCAGAAGTAAGAGTTATCAGGGTTGTTCCCCACATACGACACGGAGTATTGTTGCTAAACGATTAGATTTTTACAAATTATAAGCTTTGGGTTCGTTGAAGGACTATTAGAGCTATACAATTTAAAAATAATTTTACAATAAAAATGTTTACTGCAATTTCATAAAATTGGAAATACTTTTAAAACTGTAAGGTTTAAGTGTGATAAACCTTAATCAAATTAATCTTTATTTCAATCGTAGAATCTAAAAATAGAATAATATGCAGGGTGTCCTATTTAAAAAAATACAACTATATAATATTTTTTACTTATATGGACACTCTGTATCTTGTAAAAATATGTTTAAATTGTAGCTCTAATAGTCCTTGAACGAACCCAAAACTTACAATTTGTAAATATCTAATAGTTTAGCAACAATAATTCATATCGTATGTGGTGAACAACCCTGTCCCTGTATATTTAGTGTAATCATAACAAAGCACAAGTAAATACAAAGGCAAGTGGTTCCAAATTCAAGATAAGTTCAAAATTTCCGTTTGTATGTAAATTTAAAAAGTATTAAGTAGGTACTAACTAGCAGACACGTCAACGCGCTGCTGTGCATGGCTAACGACTATACGTTAACTACCGAAGTACCGGACTACCAAACTACGAACTAACGAAGTACCGAAATACTGAACTACCCGTAATTTATAGCCTATATCTTATTCTGAAGTATAAACTATATTATTGTAATTTCATTTAAATTCATTCAGTAGTTTTCGCATGAAAGATTAACAAAGATTCATACATCCATGCATACAAACTTTTGCGTTTATAATATTAGTAAGGATATTATTATTCCCTAATGAGTTAACATTCTTACTACGTACCCCACTTTGCTGCCACATGTAGGGGTGTAATAAGATGTTTAGCTGCATAGTTAACATCGGCACCTTTTTGAATTAATAAATTAGCAATTGGTTGGTTTCCATAATGCGAAGCTATATGAAGAGGTGTAAAGCCTGATTTTGATGTAACGTCAGGATTATGGTCGTTCTAAATAAAATGAGAAAAAAAAATAATTATATTACAATCCTTTGTGGCTAATTAACATATTTATTATTTTCTAATAGTCGAGAATGCATTGAATTTTTAGACTTACTTGTAAAAGTAAACTTGCTGCCTTTACGTCATCCTTTTTTGCAGCAATATGCAATGCAGGAAGTCTGACTTTACCTCTGGTATCATTCTCCAGTAATACTGTTACAACTTTATCGTGACCCTGTTGCATGGCAACGGCCAATGGCGTGAATCCATCCTAAAAGGAACAATAATTTATTATGTATTATTTTAACAGTTATTGAAACTGTTGAAATGTTATCAGTAGTACTAATTAATTTTTTTGTATTTTTCCTTATGGTTAAAAGAAGCACTAACATTTTTTCAGGTATATTTGCTACACTTTAAAAAAGATGTTCAAAGTGAGAACCTCCATCTGGCATTCCTGATTCTCACTCAAGTCACTCAGCGAAGTAGAATAAGATCATTTTAGCTGAGAATGTTTATTCTGCAATGTTAATAAACGTTTTTTTTAGGGTTTTAATCTATAAGTTTTAAGCTTAACTTATAGCTAATGTTAAAGTAGGTACCGAATTACTGTCGACATCACGTATGAATTTAATCTCCGGCTGAACAGACTGTGTATTGCCAGAAATATACCTTTTCTCTTTCAAACTTACCTCTGTTGAGAGACTCTGGTTCGCGCCATTGGCCAACAGATACCTCACGACATTATCGTGATTCTCCTGCGCAGCCATATATAGCGGCGTAAAGCCATTTTGACTTTGTACATTTACTGAAGCGCCGTGCTGGACGAGAAGTTTGACAACTTCCTCCTGTCCAGCCAGTGAGGCTATGTGTAGCGCGGTGTTGCCTTTTTTCGTCGCGGCATCGACTAGCGCGCCTCTCTTGAGAAGCTCCTTAACTATTTCTATGTGGCCATCCTTGGAAGCGAGATGAAGAGCATTTAAACCATTCTAGAATGATGGGGAAAAATTGGTTGATATGAAAGTAATTTGTAAATAAAAGATAACTTACAGCGTTGCTAGTGTTGATGTCGATATTTGATTTCAAATGTTCGAGAACTTTGTCGAGTTGGCCATTGCGCGCAGCGCGCAGAAAGGACGTGTTTCCGTCAGACTGAAACAAAAATAATATATATGATTATTTTATTCTATTTAATTCCAGCTACATTTCCGAAATATGATATCCATTAAAAGATTCCTTGAATAAAAGAAATCTAAAAAGATAAAAAATCTAAGAAATCTAATATATCTAGAAAGGGATAGTAAGTTTCAATGTAAAAGTCATCGGCCGGCTGGTACTGAATATAATTTGTGTAATTTTGGAAGAAAAGTAAACTTGTTGCTCGGTATTTTCTATATTTTCATTGGTATTATTAAGTTTTTTTAAAATAATTTTATTTTATGTCACGTTTTATCTTATTTATAAATTACTTCCTGGGAAGGGTAATTACCCCCCTTACCCCTCCCGTATAAGGGCCACTGAGTCCAATAATTTATTTAAAACTTCAAAAATTTAGACTTCTTATTTCTTATTTTTCATTAGTCTTGACAAAATGGCGAATGGCATATTAGAAGTATACGATATATTTTTTTTGTTGAGTAATTTATAAACAAACACATTACCATAATCACATACTAAGTAGGTCTGAGACTTTAGCGTAGCTACTTAAGCAAGAAGATGAACAAATATAAATATATTTCCCAACTGTGATAAGAAGATAACATCAATTTTTATGTTTACCTCAGTAGAAAAAACTTAATAATAAAAACAAAATATATATTTTTTATTTTCTAATTTATAGTACAGATAAATTATACTGTATATATTCTTTTGTTCTCCAGTTTTTCAAATATACTGTTGTCTGGGAATTACAAATTAACTCCCAATATGGATCTTTATTTAACTAATGCTATCTGGTCAATTACATATGCCAATTTTGTTACTCTTGTATTATTTCTAAAGTTAGTGTCTATAAAACTAAAAATAGTACGTCAAGGGATTAACTACTTTATTAAATTATTTATGTATGTATATACAGAGGGTAGTTCATTAGTAGGCTGAAATCCAATATCGGCGTTGTTGTCGAAGATATGAAATAAAGTTTTATATTTATGTTGTATATGGATTATAAAGGAGCATGTCCTAAAAATATTTTTTCGTTTACAGGATGTCACAAAAAAGTTATGAATATATTTTAAGTTTTTTTTTAAATTGCACCGCCTCTTTTTCTGTAAATAATTGACTTCGGTATAAAATTCTGCATATATGTATTACGCTCAATAGTCGAATTCGGGCAATGCCCGAGAAAAATACGCAAATCTAGTTTTGAGCAAGGGATATTTCCCAAACCCGAAAAATTAATTTTATTCGATTATTTTTTTTCTTATAGTGTGATTTGATTGGTTTCACTCTTTTTGGTTGGATTGGTTTAGTAATTTGGCGAATTGGTTAGCGTGGTTATTTGGAGGGTGTTAATTCATTGGTTAGTTGGTTTTTCGGGTTTGGGAAATATTCCTTGCTCAAAACTAGATTTGCGTATTTTTTCGGGCATTGTTCGACTATTGAGCGTAACATATGCACTATTTTTATTTAAAGCACTATGCTGTATTGCCATTCTATTTCTTATTTACTAAAACTTTGGTTAATAACACTATATTCGAAAAGTGATTAAAATCTGGAGTGAATAGGTATAACTTTATTAATACTTCGCTATATTTTCCTAAACACCAAAGATAACATGATGAATTGTGAAAAATATACATCATCCCATACAGAGTATTTTTTATGGCGTCACCAAGATCGGAATTTTTAACATGCTATATCTCTATTTAAAAAAAACTCAAAATTTATGTGAGGATGCAGCCAATAATCACCACAGAGGCTAATAAAACTACTTTTTCAAATTTGTCAAGCTTTCGAGAATTTTATTCCCATCATCAGGACAGTTTGACTGAGTCAATTGGCAAAAACAACATCCTCTGCACAAAAAGGCCTTAAAACTAGCATCATATGACATTGGAATGCAAGGAAATTTCCTTTATAAAATATTAAAATACATATCGAACGACATTACCTTTTAAAACATTTTTTTCACTGTTTGATCACTGTCATTGTCACTGTCACTGTTTGATCGAGCTCGAAACAACAATGTAGAAATAAAATTAGTCTTATTAGTCTTACTTAAATTTATAGTTTTTCTTAACTTAGTCAGTCACGACTCAACCTGCTATTTTTTTTGAAATGCAACACCCTGTATATTATATTTCATTTAGACGCAGAGTTAAATAAGGAAGATTTTTTTCTATTTGAAGCATTTTTAAATTACATATACAGGGTGAGTTTCCTACGATGTTCTCTATGGGTATCTCGGAAACTACTGGAGATAGAAAGTCGGTTAAATGGGGAAAGAATTGCAGTTTTGTGGGGTCATAAATATGCGCCTGTCAGATTTTTGAAAAAGTTCATGGCTTACTAGATATTTCGAAAAAAACAAATTTCGGCTATTTTAAAAATTGTCCCTAATTCCATTATAAGCTATTTTAGACAAAAAGTTTTCATAAGAAGTGCCATTTTCTAAGCTTTTTAGTGATATAAGCTATAATATCTTTTCTTCGAAAAATTACTGAGTTATAGCCAATTCTTATCATTTTTAAATAATTTCACTTAGTTAGCCATGGAAACAAGTTCAATCGCCGTTGCTTTCAGAAATGTGAAGCTGTTACATCCATTTTTTCCACACTTTGAAAATTAAAATAAACAAAAATTGTAAATATGAATTTTTCAAATGAAGAAAAACGTGTAGATACTCGCGCATCAATAGAGTGGTTCCAACATGACTTTCATTATGACACACCACCCCCACCCCTCATAATGAAAAAAATGTTAAAAATTATTTATACCATAAGTATACAAACGCAGAGATAGGAAGAGGTGGACTATTTGGGGCCTCTCCCCAAATAGTCCACTATTTGAGACCATGGGCCTCCTCGATCACCTGACCTATCCATTTTAGAATTTTTTATGCGGTATAGTTAACAATAAGGTTTACAAAAGAACTTATGAATTAAGAGGGACACTCGAAGTGGCGGTACGAGGAAAGTTTAATTAAGTCGATCGGTCCTTGTGTGAGAATAGGTACTGTTTGACCAGCGGATCTGAAGCTACGGAAGGAATGCGAGAAAAAAAAATCGATATTGCCACGTTTATCTATAAAATTGCAAAATTGCCAGACATGAACTATAAATTTAATATATTTTTATTATATATAATGTGTTTAGCATATATTCTGACGTATATTACTAAGGAATTTTAACGTAGTTCATATTGTTCGATATGTTTTATTTAATAACTTATTTCTTTCATTCTGTTTAATCTGCCTATTATGAAAGTTGAAGATTTTCAACGATATCATTGGCAAACCGGCATCGCCGCGCATGGCCGCCTATTCATCGAACATGATTGGCGAGAGTACGTCACAGGATTTGTTACCACGCGGTTGCCATGGCTTTTACGCCTTTCCTATTCGCTTGCTTTATCCCCAACTTCACGGTCTCTTCTGAAAAGAGTAGGAATATTGAATACTATTGAAATATCCAGTGGCGGTGTCATTTTTTTGATCATTATTACTTTATTTCATTATTTTATACCGGTTATCCTAAACTTTATTCCTATATTTTTAGTATATTTGATAGTTAAGTTGTGTTTTATTGTTTTGTTATCTTGTTATAATGTTTTTCGTTCGTAGTTTTTAATTATTAATATCAAGTTTGATCGTATATTTGTGTTTTAAAACGAATAAATTTGTTAAGGGTAAGACGCTACATAGTCAGACAAGAGAAATAATAGCTAATTTATATAGGTAAGTTAATAATAACGTGGATGAAATCTCATTTGGTGTATTTCCTTGTGTTCATAATAGGGTTTGCGATGAAGAAGCTACAGAGAGTTCGCTTGAGTTGCCGCTTAAACGTAAACTTGAGCGGATATTTCTTTATACCGGAGTTAGCGTATCGGCTATAAAAAAATTCACACAGAAGATAAAAAAAAGGCTGAAAACTAACCCCGATAAAATGATATCCTCTCTGGAAAGAAACGACCACGTGAGACTGCTGTCGAAAAGCTCAACGACTTTTTCGAAGTGGTCAGGAATTTGATAAATAGATTTTATCTCGAATTCAAACTCGTCCCCACAATTAGAAAGCTTTTGCAAAAATTGCAGGAAGAATCGAATTTTCCTTTTGCAGGGAAACGCTTAGGGGGTTATTAAAATCAAATGAATTTTTTTGGCGTAAATGTTAAAATAACAGATAAATATTAATGGAGCGGCCCATTATATTGCAGAGAGAGATATAAATATATATACGCGAAATTCGAAAATATAGCCAAGTATTATCTATTTGGATGTAACATATGGGTAGACAATGACCTAACCTTTAAAAACTGCTGGCGGAGCGATACCATATCTGGTGTAATAGGCAATATCAGATCTACTGATGAGTAAAATTATGTTTTGTTTGCGCTTCCAAAGTTAACTATTTTCAAGATTTTTTTTTGCTGGAAATAGTTATATCTAAAATTATGTATTATAGAAAAAAATATAGTTAGTACAGATATATAACTAATATATCTCAAGACTCAGTCTTGATCATCTGCTGATGGCAGACGGTTAGCGAAACGTGCGTCCAGTGTAAAATCAAAAGTTTTTTGGTGTATTGTACTGATTTAGTGTTTTATTTTGCTGTGTAACACCAAAGGTTCCAACCCCCAGCTGTAATTATTTCTTCTATTATATTAACAACACAATAATAAAATGATTCAAAATATTTAAGGGAGCTTTAATAAAAGCTTTTAGTGTTTATCTGCTAACTCAACAGTAACGATTCAAACAGCATAAAGTTTTTTGAAAAAAATTATTAATCTGGGTATTATATTTATGATACACATTATTTTCATATAACACCGTACGCCCATGCCTATTTTATGAATGAAATTGGGCGTGTTTTGTTTACAACTGCGTTCCCCTGCCGATACCCCGTAGCTACAGATCCGTTGGTCACACTATAGTAATTCAGTTTTAAAAAGATGTGACTCAAACTAAACTCGACTTTTCTAAC